TTGGACTGGAAAATGGGAAACCTCATGACACTCCAATGAGCTCATCAACAAAGCTTGACAAAGATGAAGGAGGTAAATGTGTGGATGTTAAATTATATAGGTCAATGATTAGCTCTTTGCTTTATCTAACTGTAAGTGGACCGGACATTATGTTTAGTGTTTGCTTATGTGCTAGATTTCAATCATGTCCTAAGGAATCACATTTACTAGTTGTTAAGAGAATCTTTAGATACCTTAAGGACACTCCTAGTTTAGGACTTTGGTATCCTAGAGACTCTAGCTTTAGCTTGCATGCCTTCTCTGATGTGGATTATGGAGGATGTAAATTAGATAGGAAAAGCACCTCCGGTACTTGTCAATTCCTTGGAAATATGTTGATTTCTTGGTTTTCAAAGAAACAAAATTATGTTGCATTATCTACCACTGAAGCGGAATACATTTCAGTCGGTTGTTTTTTTTTTGCACAAGTTTTATGGATAAAACAACAACTTTTTGATTATGGAATTAAAGTAGGTACCATTCCTATCAAGTGTGACAATACTAGTGTTATTTGTCTCGCTAAAAATCCCATCCAACACTCTAGAACTAAGCACATTGAAATTAGACATCATTTCATTATAGATCATGTCACTAAAAAAAGATATAGTTCTAGAATATGTTGATACTTTGCACAGATTAGCGGATATATTTACAAAACCTTTAGATAAAGAAAGATTATGGAAACTTAGGAGAGAATTAGATTTGACCAACCTACCTTGACTTAGTATTTAAAATAAGTTTAGCACTTTTAATTAGTTTTGGAAAATGCTTATAAATATGACACTTTTAATTGCATTCTTTGCTATTAGTTAGGGGGAGTTTATGATTCTTTGTGAAAAATTAATTATATGTTCAAATTATGTTTAAGGATAGAATTGATTGTTTGAACATAGTTAATCTTCTTAATATGAGTTTCCAATACCACTAGAGCAAATTAATTTAGCATTTTAAGTGTTTAAATTACATATTTTTTATTTTTCTGACGGGAGGAATCGATACCCCTTTGAAGGGGAACCGATTCCCCCTTTGAATGGGAATCGATTCCCCCTGTAGGGAATCGATACCCCCCCCCCACGGGGTCTGGATATTACACACCCAAAATACCCTATTTTCTTAAAACCCTCTATTAGTCTTCTTTCACGTCGTTCTCTCTCTTATCTCCCTAAATCTCTACTTTTTCCAAAATCATCAAACAAAATCAGAATTACTTCATTTTTTAACTCCTAAACCTGTTGGAATCATCAAACTAGTGCAAAAATCATCACATTCTCACAAAAATCCAAATTTCTCAAGGTAATATCTCTAAAACCCCTGTTTTATTAATATTTGAACTTAGGACTAGTTTTGATTAGATCTAGGATAAACATTATATCGAGCATTGATTGTTTAGTGTTTAGAAACTAAATTTTACAACCAATTTCATCAAAAACGCTCAATTTTTCAAAATTATCTTTAAATTTCTAAATCAAAAATCAAAAATTGTTATTTTAATTCATGTTTTTGATTCAATTATATTGTTTTAATTGGTGGTACAGAATTTACTAGTAACTACTTTAAAACACACCTTCGTACTTCTGGCATTCATCATCAACTATCTTGTCCATATACTCCCACCCAAAATGGTTGCGTTGAACGAAAACATCATCATGTGACAAACTGGTTTGGCTCTACTTTTCCACTCTCACACTTCTCCTCGCTTTTGGGTTGACGCCTTTAGCACTACATCTTACATCATCAATCGCTTGCCCACGCCACTTCTCGGAGGTAAGTCCCTTTTGAGCTTCTATACGGTTCCCCTCTAAATTATAAAAAAATCACCCATTTGGTTGTCGTGTTTATCCCTGTTTACGTGATTACATGCCTAATAAATTTTCTCCTCGTAGTATTCCTTGCATTTTTATGGGATACAACTCTTCTTATAAAGGGTTCCGTTATCTTGATCCCACAACCTCTAGGATATATATCACTCGCCATGCTCAGTTTGATGAGACCCATTTTCCCTCTCTGGATACCTCTCAGGCCCAACCATTATCCTCCCTCCAATTTTTAAATTTTCTGGAACCAAGTCTTTATCCCACCACCATAACCCCACCTTCTTATGTGCCCCATTCCCAGCATATTACTGAATCTAGATCTCGTTCGTGTGTTCTTTGTATTGATCCCGTGGATAATTCTTTACAGGCCCATGATTCTCTTGCAGGTCCATCTCTGCAGTCCTCAGATTCTGGCTCACCTTCTATTGAGTCTACTGAGTTGCCCTTTGCTGCTCCTGTTGTTGCCTTTCTGATGGGGTTCTTATCCTATGCTCACACGAGCCAAGGCTGGTATTTTCAAACTTCGCCACCCGACGAATCTTGTTGTCTTGGGATCCTCTTGCCTTCTCTCTGCTCTTCTGGCATCCACTGAGCCTAAAGGGTTCAAATCAGCTGCCAAGAATCCTTCTTGGCTTGCCGCCATGGATGAAGAAGTTCAAGCTTTGCAAAATAATTGTACCTGGATTTTGGTCCCATGCCCTGCCAATACCAATATTGTGGGCTCCAAATGGGTGTTTCGGTCCAAATATTTGCCTGATGGATCTATCGAACGTCTCAAAACTCGTCTTTTTGCAAAGGGATATACACAGGTACCTGGTCTTGATTACACGGATAGTTTTAGCCCTGTCATCAAGGCTACCATTGTACGTGTTGTACCCTCTCTTGCGGTGACTAACCGATGGCCTCTCCGCCAACTTGAAGTCAAAAAATACCTTCCTCAATGGTCACCTTACTGAACAAGTCTATATGGAACAACCTTCAGGGTATATCGATCCTCGCTTCCCCAATCATGTTTTTCAATTGAAGAAAGCTCTTTATGGCCTTAAACAAGCACCATGTGCCTGGTTTCAGCGATTCAGCTCCTTTCTCATTCACCTTGGTTTTTCTTGCAGTCGTGCGGACACATCACTCTTTGTCTTTCACAAGCAATCCGACATCATTTATTTGTTGGTTTATGTTGATGACAATGTTATTATAGGCAATAATTCCTCTCTTCTTGACAGCTTTACTCGTAAGCTTCACTCTGAGTTCGCTACTAAGGATTTGGGTTCTCTCAGTTACTTCCTTGGTCTTAAAGTTACACCAACCACTGATGCCCTTTTTCTCAATTAGCTGAAATATGCACGCGACATTCTTAGTCGTGCTCAATTACTTGATAGCAAGCCTGTTCACACTCCGATGGTTGTTTCCCAGCACCTGTCTTCTGATGGTTCTCTATTTTTGTATCCTACTCTTTATCGATCTCTTGTTGGTGCTCTTCAGTATTTAACCATCACGCATCCCGACATTGCTCATACTGTCAACTCTGTCAGTCAATTTCTACACTCTCCGACAGATGACCACTTTCTTGCTGTCAAACACATTCTTCGCTATGTCAAGGGCACATTGCATTTTGGCCTCTCTTTTCATCCATATGTTGCTTCCGGTACTTTAGTTGCTTACTCTGATGCTGACTGGAAGGATGTCCTGACACTCGTTGCTCTACCTCTGTTATTCCATTTACCTTGGTGACAATTTGGTTTCCTGGAGTGCCAAGAAGCAACCGATCGTTTCTCGTTCCAGCTATGAGTCTGAATATCGTGCCCTTGCTCTCACGAGCAGAACTTTTTTTGGCTTATAAAAGTGCCATTTTTTTGAGCTCCAATCCTATTTCTCATAAGCGGGCCAAGCATGTTGAATTAGACTACCACTTTCTCGCGAACTTGTTCTTGCTGGCAAACTTCGGACACAATATGTACCCTCACACTTGCATATTACTGATATCTTCACCAAAAGTGTATCTAGGCCTCTCTTTCAATTTTTCAGATCCAAGCTACACGTCTGTTCCAATCCGACGCTTAGCTTGCAGGGGGTTGAGGATCCTCTACCCTAATCTAAGACATTCCATATGTATCATTGACCCTCAATTATAGGAGCTTGTTTAGCTTATTCTTTCCATTTATTTTGTAATCATATCTTTACGTGTAATTAAGTTTACACTATGAAATTGAATATATATATAATACATGCAATTTCTCACCACTAACAAGTGTGGTGGTTTTTCCTAATATTCTCACCACTAACATCCTATCATTGGGATTCGAGAGTTTCATCTCTCTTATTTTTCCTTGCAAGGGTTGATGTAGTTCAATGAATCATAACTACGAAAGTGGTTGTAGTTTGTACGATGAACTGGAATCGTAGAATTAATTTACCGAGTTATAAACTCAGTTTTGCACTCGGTACTTGTATTATTCAATGAATCATAACTACGAAAGTGGTTGTAGTTTGTACGATGAACTGGAATCGTAGAATTAATTTACCGAGTTATAAACTCAGTTTTGCACTCGGTACTTGTTATTTAGTTGAACGATAGGCAGCATTCAATTATGATCAATTCTGTAGCAAATGGATAAATCGTGCACAATTCCATCCAAAATCAATCCATCTTACACCGCATGCAAATTGCACTTGAATGGATAGCTCAAAGTAAAACTGGAATGAACATGATCAAGATCACTTCATAAATCAACTTATGTTCTTCCCTTCGCGAGCCATGCGATTGTGTTAAATGGATTTGCAATTAAATAATGGCAAACCATGCCAACAATACGTTGGTCTAGAAGGATGAAACGTAAATATTTTAAGAAATGTGTGGTATGAATAGCATTTACGAATAGAATAAATAAGATTGGGAGAGTTGCTTTCATATTGAGTCTCTGTAGTACTCAATCCAAATTATTTAACATCATCGTTAAATTTTTAACAGTGGGTGGCCAAAACAGAACTAAATTAGGCATGCTTGGGGGAATAATAATAGTAAGGTGACCAAAATAAAAATTAAGTAATTGATGAGTAACCATATAAGTAGTTTCCTTAACTTTATTCAATAAAATTAACTAAATCTTGGCCATATATTAAAGAAAATAGAGTTAAGTGCAGAAAAGAGAAGACGTATCTTCCTATTTTACTTCATTAACCTAGATTTCAAGGGAAAGCGGTCACCATTTCAATATTGACCGGGAAGGAAACCCCACCGTTTATTTCTTCTTCATATTCCTCACCTACTTTGTTAAACCCACCAATCAAGACTTTACTTGAATCTAATCTGTACAAGAATTGGGTGATAGATTGAAGAAAGACTGGGTTACCAGTAGAATGGTGGTTTTAGTGAGCGAAAGTTGAGGTAGGCGTTAACCAACCATATATCTCATCATTTCTATTTCATAGAGAATCATTATATATATTTTTTATGAAATGATTTTGAATATATTTGAATGTTGATATGTTTTGAAGGAATTTTTTTTTTTTTTTTGATAAAATGTTTTAAAGGAATTTAAAGGGAAACAGAAAATTAGTAGCTTTAAGGAAGCATTTTGGATACTTTCTGAGATTATTTTGGAATAAATTAGGTTTGTGTTCTTTAGTTTCTCTTTGCCTTAGATTTTCTTGATTCTTTTCATGATATTGAAACTCGTGCTTGAAAATCAATATTATTACAAAGATGCTTTTGTCTTTTATCTTCAAATACAAATCTTTTACGACTCCACCCACACTAAGTTTTTTAACTTTATTGTCTAATATATGAGTATATGTTGAATTTGTTTTGAGAAAGATTGGTTTAAAGAAGAATTTAGTTTTGAAATTAGAATATGGAACTCATGCTTGAAATTCAATTGGAATTGAATTTCATGAAAGCTGTATTCGGGAGTTATGTAAACATATGAAATGGAATTTATGTTTATATGTAAAATACAATAAATTTTGAAACATGCAAATGAGTATATGAAATTTGGTAAGAGAATTTATGCATTTAGCTCTTGATGAATTGGTCTAATGGATGGACATGGAGTTAGGAGATAGATATCCGGTTGGATCCTTTCGAAAAATCCAACAGAGAGTATGTGTGATTGGTAAATTCATCAAAGAGTAAATTTGGTTTGAAAGAGTTTAGGCACTTAGATACTATCAATCAATAGATGAAATTGAGCTTCAATGAAATGTTCTTTAATTGCAATAAACCTTATGGATTTGTTTTGGGATGATTTTTGCCGATAATAACTGTATGAGTACAAGATTTAATACCTACAAGTATTGAATTAATTTGAGTATGATTATGTGTGTATGTGTGTGTGTGTGTGCATGATTATATATATAGTACCTTGGAAAACACTAGGATGTATGTGGGTATTACTAGATATTTGGAAATCTGAGAAGTTCAAAAATAACCATTATGTGATTTGTGGGCGTTATACGGATATGATAAATATATTTTGAAAATTGAATTGTTGATGTCAAGCATATGACATGATGTTCTGGTATTTATTTAGCATGTGGTTTTGCACTTGAAATTGAGAATGCTTTAATTGATTTGGTAATTAAGTTGTGAAGTTTCAATTTAGAAGCATATAAGTTATGGAATGTGATTTGATTGATGAAACTGGAATTTATAATTTCATATATGGCTTTAGATGTGGAAAACTGATGGTGAGACCATTGGGAGGTTGTGGAATTTGTGAATTGTGGAAAATGTTTTAAACTGCCAGAAGTTAGTAGTGGAAACTGTACTGAAATTTCTAAGAAATCTTGTATTAATTTGGTTAAATATATTAGATTATCAGAAATTATAGTAGATGCTCTCGAACATCAAATGTGGCACTTCTTTCCTGGGATCACTAACAGTCCGAGTAAGAGGTGTTATAAATGGGGGTTATAGATGGCTAGTACAATTTTTAAAGATCATGGATGAAAATAAAATATTAATAGGTCCGAGTAAGAGGTGTTATAAATGGGGGTTATACATGGCTAGTACAATTTTTAAAGATCATGGATGAAAATAAAATATTAATAGAAGCTTATGGATCATTCATGAATTTTTCTGACTTTCTTGTAAGACGGCGATTATATTAGTTAATTTTGGTATCCTTTGATTCAACCTTTTCTCAGATTGTTTCAACATCCACTCTGTTCTTGGGAATGGCGGAGCAGCAGCAACTAGAGCCATGGACCAACCTCGGCGGGAAGGTGGTCATGGTGACAGGGGCATCTTCCGGCTTAGGTCATGAATTTTGTCTCGACTTGGCTAAAGCTGGCTGTCAAATCGTGGCTGTAGCACGCCGCGTCGATCGCCTTAAATCCCTCTGTGATGATATTAATCGCCTCAGCCTTCCTGAGCCCCAGTCTAGTGGTACTCGAGCTGTTGCTGTCAAGCTTGATGTATGCGCTGATGGAGCCACCATACAGAGCTCTGTGAAAGCAGCTTGGGATGCCTTTGGGAGGATCGATGTTTTAATAAGCAACGCTGGCATTAGAGGTACTCCATTTTGTTTTTTATTTTAAAATTTCCATGTTCTTATTTTGTTTTGCATGATCATAGTAGATGTACGGGGCAAAATCAGTCCCGGCTTCATCTTTGAACTTATTTTTTTGTGAAAAATTGTTAATTTTTTATGCTCCTTTCGTCCGATTCGTAACCATCGTGCTGGAAATTTCAACTATTACATGTATTTGCAGGTCAAGTGAAGAATTCTTTGGAATTGTCTGAGGAGGAATGGAATCGAACTATTAGAACCAATTTAACAGGGTCTTGGTTGGTGTCAAAGTACGTTGCGACGCACATGCGCGATGCAAATCATGGAGGATCCATAATCAACATATCTTCCATTGCTGGTCTTAACCGTGGGCACCTACCCGGAGGCCTGGCTTACGCTTCATCGAAAGCAGCCCTAAACACCATGACAAAGGTAAATATTGTACCAAAACAGCCACATGGATTTATGATTGTTTTCCACTGGTTCTGTGCTCAAATACCATTATGCAATGATTTTTGCATCAGAATAATGAAATCTGCAATGATTTTTATGCAGATGATGGCCATGGAACTAGGGATGTATAAAATCCGAGTGAACTCGATATCACCTGGGCTTTTCAAATCGGAGATCACACAAGACCTTATGAAGAAGAACTGGTTAACAAAAGTGGCTGAGAGAAACGTTCCGTTAAGAACATTTGGCACGGCAGATCCGGCATTAACGTCGCTAGTGAGATACTTGATCCATGATTCATCGGAGTACGTTACAGGCAATATATTCATCGTTGATGCTGGGGCTACCTTGCCCGGTGTTCCCATATTTTCTTCGCTTTGAGGATGCAAGCCGCTGTATATTAGTAGCAAACATGGATGGATGGGATGTTTTCCGTCTTATAATAAGATTTGTTGCATAAAATTCTGTTCATGTTTATGCCTATTGTAGTCTTCTAAATAGTACACCGTATCATTATGTATAATTTAAATGGTACAGTTGAAGTTGGCATAATGTTAAAAAATATCTATCGTGTTTGATTAAATGGTTATTTTGTTCTGTTTTTAGAGTATTTTGGTTCTTAATATTTCATTTTAGAGTAAAATGATCCTTATTTTGGAACGTTAACTGTTTGTTGAATAATGATTTTCATTTACGGAGGGTCTTCTTTCATAAAATAAAATATTTGGGTTAAAATATCTCAAAAAATATGAATCAAAATGATTATTTAATTAAATGTTACAAGTAATTTTTTACATTATATCAAATAAGATGTTTTCGTAATCTAATTTTTAGTAAAAATAAATAGACTCTTAAAATCCTTATTTCATAAAATTTTAAGATTAGACTTAATTGTTATGATATTATTCTAAATTTCGAGATTAATCCTTAAATCTTTATAAAACTACACATACCTTAATAAAATACAATGGACATATCCTTAATATTTTATAATAGCATTGACAAAATAATACTTAATAAAATATCATTAACATTTCAAATGCTTAACAGAATATTAATGACAAAAACCTATCCAAGTTACATTATCAACCTTCCATACCTAATACATAAACCATCATCAACCTTCAATATTCAAGTTAGAAATCATCATCAACCTTCACTAATTAATGCACAAATCGTCTTCAACCTTGATTATCAAAAATCATTTTTAAACTTGATCCACCAAAAATACAGGTAAGAAGGAGAAAAAAAAGAACAAATCAAAGTAAAAATTCAAACAAACAACAACAACAAAATCATTTTCCCATATGCAATGGGGTAAGGAGAGGTATGGTAATAGGCTGCCCCCAACGCCAGGTTGAGAGCAGCTTCTGTGGAAGACCTCCGGCAGTCAGAAAAATTAAAAATAAAGATAAAATACAATGCATGTATACATAAATAAATAAATACATAGTTGTACAGTCTTCATATGCAGTCTTCATATGCAGTCTTCATATGCGCGTCTGTAACGGGAAGTAATCCCTGCAAATAAATCCCTACGTAAAAATCTCTGCATATAGACAGAAACGTAAGACCCAACTAAATTTAAAAAGAGGAAACATGAAGAGAATGATACACAGGAGTCAACGATAGTAAGGTACGAGAAGGAATAAAGGCAAATAGGTTAAAACCTAAACTAAGGCAACACTACTCCGCTACCCTAGTTCTAAGTCTTCATAAATTCCAATGACATAAACGTATAAAAAGTAGAAGTCATGGAAATTACTACAAAGGCATAAAAGAAGACAGAGATTATACACCCTATGGATGTGGCCCGCACTATTCGGCTACCCTGGTCTTAAATCTCCATACATTCCTATCAGATGTCATGTCCTCGGTAAGGGCTAAATCCTTCAAATCAGATCTCAAGCAGTCTTCCCACTTCCGCCTTGGTTGTCCTCTCCTTCTGGCACCGTCGACTGTAATTGACTCTACCCTCCTGACCACATTTGACAGTTGTCGCCGAAGGACATGTCCAAACCACCGTAGTCTTCCCTCCCTCATTTTTTCGGATACAGGAACCACCCCCAATGACATCCTAATAGCAGAGTTTGGTGTCATGTCCCTCATAGTCCTACCACATGCCCATCGAAGCATTCTCATTTCTGCGGCCTCCATCCTCCTTATGTGATCCTTCTTAATTACCCAACATTCTGATCCATACAGCAGCGCTGGTCTTATTGCCATTCTATAAAATTTTCCCTTAAGTTTTAGGGGCACCTTCTTGTCACACAAAACTCCAGTAGCAGCCCTCCACTTTAGTCATCCCGCCTTTATACGTTGTGTAACGTCATCTTCCACACCCCCGTCTTTATGTATCATAGACCCTAGGTACTTGAAATAATCCTTTGAGGGGAGAAAGTGTCCTATGTATACTTCTACATCTTCATTGTTTTGGTCCCCACTGAAGTTTGAACATAAATACTCTGTCTTTTCAATATTTATCCTTAGACCTTTTTCTTCCAAAGCAGTCTTCCAGGTAGTCAGTCTACTATTTAACTCAGTTTTTTGTTTCAGTAACTAGGACAATGTCGTCAGCGAAAAGCATACACCATGGAACACCGTCTGGTGTCTCACAATAGATGTCGTCCATAATCAAGGCAAAGATGTAAGGGCTAAAAGCCGACCCTGGTGGAGTCTAATTTCCACCGAGAATGCCTCGGTGTCGCCAACTGTAGTCATGACGTATGTAGTAGATCTACAGTACATATCACGAATCACCCGGATATAAGTTGTTGGGATTCGTCTCATTTCCAAGGTCTTCCAAATCGTATCGCGAGGAACGCTATCATACTCCTTCTCAAGGTCAATGAACGACATGTGAAGATCTCTATTTTTCCCTATATTTCTCCATAAGCCGTCGAAGAAGATGAATCGCCTTCGTAGTAGACCTGTCTGCATAAAGCCAAATTGGTTTTCCGAAACCTTAGTAACCTGTCTCAACCTAGCCTCTATCACCCTTTCCCATAGCTTCATGGTATGGCTGAGTAGTTTAATACCTCTATAGTTACCACAATGTTGGGGATCTCCTTTATTCTTATAGATTGGTATCGCCGTAGACTCTCTCCACTCCTCTGGCATCTTGGCAGTCTCTAGAATAATATTAAAGATGTTGGTCAACCACTTAACTCCCTCTTCTCCTAGGGCCAACCACACAGTGATAGGAATTTGATATGGACCTACAGCTTTGTCCCTCCCCATCTTTCTAAAAGCCAATTTGACTTCCTCAAACCCAATCCTACTTGTAGGGCAGTAGTTGGTCGTAGTATGATGGTCGGTTGACCCATCAACAATACTATCTCTACAGGGAGAGGCACCGTCATTAAATAAGCCAAAGAAGTAACTATCCCAAACCCTCTTAATATCATTATCTTTCACTAAAAGAACACTATTGTTGTCCTTAATAAACCTAATGCTACCTATATCATTTTTCCTATTCTCCCTAGATTTTGCTAGCCTGAAGATATCGCTTTGTCCTTCCTTGGTGTCTAATCTCTTGTACATTTCCTCGTATGTCTTATCCTTTGCTTTAGCCACCATTTTCTTGGCTTCCCGATTTGACTCCTTGTATATTTGTTTAGCTCTCGATCTTTCTTCGTCGTCATTGCATTGTAGATACTCCTTGAAGAAAGTTTGCTTTGTCTTCACCTTAGTTTGGACTTCATCGTTCCACTACCATGATTATTTATGCTCCTTGACCTTTCCTGTCGACAGCCCAAGGGTGTTTTGCCCACCTCTTTGATGGAATTTACCATATTTTTCCATAACATATCTGCATTATTTGAGTTTTTAGTTCCAAAACCTGTATTAAACAAAACCTTACTCCTAAAGTCATCAGCTGTCGCTCCATGTAAGTTCTTCCAAAGGATTCTAGGTTTACCAAGTTTAACCCTCCTATGAGTGCTCCACCCGTGGCGTACGCGGAACACCAAAACCAACAATCTGTGTTGTGATGCACATGCCTCTTCAGGAAACACCTTACAGTCAATGACAGCTCATCGATCCCGATTTTGAACCAGGATGTAGTCGATTTGGGTGCAATGTCCCCCGCTATGGAACGTAATCAAGTTCATATCTCTCTTGTTAAAGAATGAGTTAGTGACCACCATATCGTGTGCAGTAGCAAATTCAAGTAACGTACGCCCCTCCTGGTTCCTACTACCAAAACTGAAACCCCCATGAACACCGTCATACCCGTCGGTTGTACTACCTATATGGCCATTGAAGTCTCCCCCTATGAAAACTCTTTGGTCCTCTGAAATTCTCCTAAGTACATCATCTAACTGATCCCAGAAGCAATGTTTATCCCCCTCCTCTAGGCCAACATGTGGGGCGTACACTAAAAGGACATTCACCACTTTCGCTTCTATAATAACCTTAATCATCATGATCCTATCCCGGTATCTACAAACTTCAACTACATTTTCCTTGAGCCTAGAGGATACCAAGATACCCACCCCATTTCTAGCGTTATCTACGCCTAAATACCATAACTTGTACCCATTACACTCTCTGGCGCGAGCCCCTTTCCGCCTAGTCTCTTGAATACATGCAAAATCTATTTTCCTATTACTAAGAACGTTGGTCAGCTCCAACAGCCTAGCATTTAATGTGCCTACATTCAACGAACAAACTCAAAGTCTAGTCTCCTTGACACCACTTTGTTGAGCCCTCCCCCTATACGCCCTATGGGATCTAAAAGAAGGACATGACCTCAAGTAATCATCTATAGCCGAAGCTATGAGGAACTATGAAAAAAGAATCCAAAGAAGACAGAAGATGCACCAATAAAACGCTAGAGAATTGAGGAGTACTAAGAAGCCTAGTTGGTTACTTAATAGGATTTTAAGACAAATTAACACTATCTTACTTAACTTAAGGCCAACGGCTAGAAACCAATGATTGGATTTATAACTTACTTAAAAATCGATAATGATATAAGATACTAGGAGTCTAGAAAAAAATTCCAGTAAATCTTACTCAAATAAAAGTACAAAAATATAGATCCAGTAGATCCTACTCAAAGCAAAACTGACAAGCAAGCGAGCAATTCCATTAATACAAATTTCAAACAAAGCAACAAAGAATAAGCTAAACTCAGCTCACATAAATCTCTACAAATATGCAAAAGTACAAATCAGACACAAAAACAAAGGATTTTGACTGTGCTTGACTATAAATAAAGAAAACCCATAAAACAGGGAAATACCCAATTAGCAAAACGAGAAGAAAAATCAAAATTTCGAGATCAAAATACTAAAAAATGGTAATCTAAAAGCTTATCAGGTTGGGAGACAGAAAAAGGATTGGATCTGAGAAGGAAGGAAAATTGTAAGAGATATCGGGTTTTGTCGTATACTAACACAAAGAACAGAATTTTATACAGATATATATATATATATATAATTTAATGATGGTGAAGCTAAGAAGAAGATATCAATAACCACAGCAAAAACAAGATGAAATTATATATATTTATGAGAAAATTACATTGAGAAAGGGAAAGATATCGAAAAACCTCAGAGTTGGATTAGATCGGGAGATCGGAAAATACGGAGTGGAGGTGAGCGAGGAGGCTGTGAAAGCCGCAGATCGTCAACAAGGCACACACTTACCAAAGAGGAAAGATGGACGCGTTTGAGAAAACCAACCGAAGCATCTTTGCACGAGAAATAATTGGTAGCTCATATTATTACAAAATTGACATGATTTGCACCATCAATTGTCATAATTATTACAATAAAAAAAATGCCGAATGTAACTTTTGTCCTTATAGTAGACTCAATTTATTACTTTCGCTCTTATTGTATTCTCACATCAATTTAACCCTCGAAATTATTTAATTACATCATTTTATACATTGCCCCTAACTTAAAACCCTATATTATAAACCCTAAACCTCAAACTATAACCTCATAACCTCTAAACCATGAATTATAAACTTTAAATATTGACTTAGGGTTTATAATTTAGGGTTTAAGTTAGGAGTATGATATAAAATGATGTAATTAAACAACTTTGAGGGCTAAATTGATGCGAAAATATAATATGAGATGAAAATGATAAATTGAGTCTACTATAGGAGCAAATGATACCCTTAAACCAAAAAAAAATTATCTTCCGGGATAATCATATGATCATGTCATCTTTAACTCAGTTCAAATTTCATAATTGTTGATCGAAATAGAAATCAAAATAGAGTTTGACTCGGACATTAATTTTATCTTCTTCGTACACTTTTTCTTTCCATGGTGAAATTTTGATCATAAAAGCTATTTTTTAAAAAAATTGCTCCAAATAAATAAATCTTGCACCTTTATTTTATTTTTATTTATATTTAATGTAAATATGATATGGCCTCTTTGATGTTAAATTAATCTACGTCATCAAGTTATTAGTGAGAAATCGATCAAGTGATAAAAAAATGTAACCTATAAAATTTAATTATTAATTTAAATTTTTTTAAAGTTTAATGGATAAAATAGGAGTGAAAATAAAATAAAATAAAATTAAAATATTAAAATTAAAATTTACCCATTTCCGTTTGTTGTTTCATATCCATGCGTTAAATTTCCTCTCGATTTTCAAAGCAAAACCGTTGGGTTTGGTTTTTGTGCCGCGTAGCTGGCATCTATTTTAATTAATGAAGTTGAATTTTAATCCAATTATTAAAAGATGATTGTAGAATATTTAACTCTCTCTCCTATTAATAATTTGATTAAAATTGAATTTCATAATTAATGAAGTTCAATTTTAATTAACAGTTATATTTTACTCTCTTTTTTATTTCATTCACTCTTTTTTAAATTCGTTCAATTTTCTCGTTGAACTTAATACAATTAATAATTTCGATCACTCAATCGTTAAATATTTAACGTCGTTAAAACGACGCCGTTTTAGAAAAACAAAATTTTACAAAAATGATGTCGTTTTACATTTATATAACAACTCATTTATAATATTGTTTAGTGAGAAACGACTGAGGGACCAAAATTGTAATTACGTTAAATTTAGTGAAAATTGAACAAATTTAAATACAGTGAATGAAATATGAGAGAGAATAAAGTTCAGTGATGATTAATGTAATTTACCTTAAAATCTTTAGAACAAATTTTCATGAATAAAATTAAGTAAAATTCATATAAAATATAAAATATTTTTAATTAATTTGGTTAAATAAAAGTGATTAAACACGAGTAGGTAGATAGGTGGGAACGCAGAAAAGAGAATAAGAGAATGTTTGATGGATGGATGTAGATCATCCTTAGCTAAATCTTGGCCATTGATTAGAAAAAGAAGACTTTCCTTTCCTATTTCCTTTCCTATTTCCTTTCATTGACTGAGATTTCAAGGGAGAGAGGCCACCATTTCATTTTCATTGACCGGGAAGAAAACCCCCATTGATTCCTTCTTTATATTCCTCACCTTTTCAAAACTCTACTTCAATCTAATCTCTACGAGAATTGGGTGATAGATTGAAGAAAGAATGGGTTCCGAATAGCGGAGGTAAGGGATAACTGACCATAGATTTCGTCATTCTTTTACATAGAATCATGATATATATGAGAATGATTTTGAATATGTTTGAATGTTGATATATTTTGAAAGAGAAAGGGAAGGTAGTAGCTTGAAGGAAGCATTTTGGATACTTCCTGAGATTCTTTTGGAGTAAATTAGGTTTGTGCTCTTTAATTTCTTAGATTTTGTTGATTCTTTCCATAATATTAAAGCTCATGTTTGAAATCAATATTATTACAAAGATGCTTGTCTTTAATCTTTAAATAAATCAATTAAAAAACGAATACCTTATAATGGAGCATGTACCCAATGAACTCAAATGCAAATCTCTTACGGTTCCACCTGCACTAACTTATTGAGTTGATTTTATGACTATATTTTTAGACAAAATATTCCCTTTCACCCTCGTCATGTTTGAGAAACTCTAATATATAAAAGTACATGTTGAATTTGTTTCGAGAAAGATTGACTTAAAGAAGAATTTAGTTTTGAAATTAGAATATGGAATCCATGTTTGAAAATCAATTGGAATTGGATTTCATGAAATCTGTACTTGGGAGTTAGGTAAACATATGAAATGGAATTTATGTTTACATGGAAAATACTATAAAATTTTGAAACATGCCAATGAGCATATGAAAATTGGTAAGAGAATTTATGCATTTAGCTCTTGATGAATTGGTGATGGACATGGAGTTGGGAGATTATTGGTATGTAGATGTCCAGTTGGATCCTCCGGAGAGTATATCTGTTAAGTAAATCCAACGGAGAGTATGTCCGATCGCAAAATCCATCAAAGAGTGAATTCGGTTTGCCATAGAGTATAGGCGCTTAAATACTATCAATCAATAGATAGATGAAATTGAGCTTCAATGAAATGTTCTTTAATTGCAGTATACCTTATGGATTTGTTTTGGGATGATTTTCTGCTGATAATAACTATATGAACAAGATTTAATACCTTGACAAATACATAGGATATAATGTGGGTATTACTAGACATTTGGAAATTTGGGAACTTTAAAGATAATGATTTTGATTATGTGATTCGTTGGCGGATACGATAAATGTATTCTGAAAATTGAATTGTTGATATCAAACATTTGGCATGATGTTCTGGTATTTATTTAGCGTGTTAGTTACTTGAAATTGAGAATGGTTGAATTGATTTGGTAATCAAGTTGTGAAATTTCGACTTAGATGCTCTCGAGCATCGAATGTGGCACTTCTTGCCTGGGATCACCGACAGTCCGCGTAAGAAGTGTTACAAATGAGTGTTATGGATGGCTAGTACAATTCTTAACGATTATATTATTTTATTTTTGTATCCTTCGATGTCCACCTTATCTCAGATTGTTTCAACATCCACTCTGTTCTTGGGAATGGCGGACCGGCAGCAACTAGAGCCGTGGACCAATCTCAGCGGCAAAGTGGTGATGGTGACAGGGGCATCTTCCGGCTTAGGTCGTGACTTTTGTCTTGACTTGGCTAAAGTTGGTTGTCGTATCGTGGCTGCCGCACGGCGTGTTGATCGCCTTAAATCCCTCTGTGAAGATATCAATCGCCTCAGCTTTCCTGAATCCCAATCTAGTGGTCCTCGAGCTGTTGCTGTGGAGCTTGATGTATGTGCTGACGGAGCCACCATACAGAGCTCTGTCAAAGCAGCTTGGGATGCCTTTGGGAGGATCGATGCTTTAATAAACAATGCTGGCATTAGAGGTACTCTACTTAGCAATCATGAAAGGGTTACTAGTAAATTGCTAGAAAACGGGTTTGTACACTGTACTTCAAGTCGAAGCTCTGGGTTTGATCTACCGGAACGTATCTCAATTTTGAAAGAAATCAGCTCCAGCTTCATCTTTTTAACTGACATCTGTTAAACATTGTCGAATTTTGATGCTCCTTTCTTTCGATTCGTAATCATTGGGTTGGAATTTCTTCATCATTTGCAAGTATTACACGTATTGGCAGGTCAGGTGAAGGATCCTTTGGAATTGTCTGAGGAGGAATGGAATCAGAATATTAGAACCAATTTAACAGGGTCTTGGTTGGTGTCAAAGTATGTTGCTATGCACATGCGCGATGCAAATCAAGGAGGATCCATAATCAACATATCTTCCATTGCTGGTCTTAACCGTGGGCAATTGCCCGGAGGCCTGGCTTACGCTTCCTCGAAAGCAGCCCTAAACACCATGACAAAGGTAAATATTGTACCAAAACAACCCTACCACTTTATGACTGTTTTCCATTGGTGCTGTGCCCAAACACCATTATGCATCAGAATAATGAAATCTACTATGACCGTTATGCAGACAATGGCCATGGAACTAGGGATGTATAAAATCCGAGTGAACTCGATAGCACCAGGGCTTTTCAAATCGGAGATCACACAAGACCTTATGAAGAAGGACTGGTTAACAACTGTGGCTGAGAAAACGGTGCCATTAAGAACTTTTGGTACGGCGGATCCGGCATTAACATCGCTTGTGAAATACTTGATCTATGATTCATCGGAGTACGTAACAGGCAATATATTCATCGTTGATGCTGGGGCTACCTTGCCCGGTGTTCCCATATTTTCTTCGCTTTGAGTATAGAGAAGGAGAACGGTAAAACAAGGATGGAAGGGATGTTTTCCGTCTTATAATAAGATTTGATGCAATTCTAATTATGTTTTGGCCTTTTTTAGTCGTCTAAATTCTACACCACGTGATTAAGATGGTGATAATATAGTGTCTGCTTCTTCACTTTCATTCCCTCATTTATAAATTACTCCAAAAAATATATTTCCTTAATCGTGATCATAACGTTGATATATACATATAATTTTTATTATGATGTTGATGCACATTCCATTAATCATAAATAAGATATAAAATATTTTTCCTATAATTCTTATTATGTTATGTTATGGTATGGTATGGTATGGTATGGTATGGTAGTGGCGTTACAATATATACGAAACATTAATAAGTTTGTTTCCACAAGAAAATTATATATTATCTTTAAAAAGACCAAAATGCATATGGATGATTTGAATAAAATAATATACGAAACATGAACCCATCAAATTATCTCATTGTTTCAGAGAATGTTGTTCTTCCTAGAGATTATAGATTCGAGTAGTTGTGTCTATATAATGCATATATCGTCAATAGTTAAGTAAGATTTTAAAGTGATAAAACCTTGTAATCATCCTATATTAATTTAAAAAAATATATGAAACATAGGAAATTAGGATAGCGAAGACATTTTAACTAAATGGATTTTCCTATAAATAATTTGATGGATTAGAGGGGGAAGAAAAAATATTTAAAAAAAAAGATACATTAATGTTAAATGTTTTATTTGAAATTTAGATTCGATAAGATTTAAAAATTATAATTTAAAATTTTAACCTTTTTTAATTAATTACTGGTATTTGATCTATTGATCGACTAATCCAGATCGGATACTGTAGAGGCGAAGGTGACCCTCCCAACCCAGCTTGCTCCGTTCGCAAACGTCATAATTCGAACCCTTGACTTTACTTAAGGAACCTAATGCCTCATCATACTAGACCAACTGATTGTCGGTAATTTTAAGTTTTTTTAAATGTCACGTAACAATGATATATAACCCACTTAAGTCAAAAAAAAATCTTTTATAATATAAATATATAAAGCAATTATTCATAATTTAAATATATATTAATGTTAAATATATATTAATTATCAGGAATGAATGATAGAGCTGAGGGGCTTTGACGCTAAGTTTTTGTAGAAATATTCTTCAAATTCTTTTTTTAAAAAAAGTTGAAAATTTTAATTTAATCATTCAAAATCTTAGGGTTTTCCATTAAGAAATTTAGTTTTTAAATATCCTTTTTTGATACTACAATTTTCTTTTAAATTCCCAAAATTGTGATTAAAGTTTCGAAAAAGAAATAGAAATTTTTATTAAAAAAATAATTAGATCCCTCCAAAACTTAGTACCAAAGATGTGTCACTAATCCTTATCCTCATATTATTATATCTTTATAAAAGTTATAAAGTATTGTGTATATCACACTGGAAATCCAAGTTTATATGGGGCATGAAGAAAAATAAAAAAAAAGTGAGAGCATTGTGGTTCATCGTTATACACAAGTGGTTCAGAACAATGTGTCACAGGAGCATCCCCAAATTCAGAGTTGAGAGTTTAAACCTGATGGCTGGATGATGCGCAGTAGATGTGGTCCAGATACTCCATCGGAACATACACCGCGGTCCTAAGTGAGCTGTGCCTCCATCCGTAAAATACATTCACCGAAGCCCCGATTATCAGCCAGACCGAAGCACGGATCCCTGTGCCGACGCTGTTAGATATCGATCAAATGGGACTATCAGAATTGAAAAACGACTCACACAATGCATCTGCAAGTTGATTACTCACCCGAGACTAATGAGTAAATAAAATATACATTGATCAGAATACAAGCTGCCGGTAAAAAGGGAACAAACGGGCACAGGAAACCTGTAAACGGGTGAATATCGAGTCATACACCTTAAAGAACATGTTCAACGGTTTACGAACTATCGAACTGGTAGATAAGTACTCGAAAATATACGAAATCTTATCCGTATTTACCACATAAAAGTTGAACATACATCCTGTGTGCCCAAAGCTGTGCCTAGCTTCATCCTGTTTTAAACATGCAAGAACGATCAAACCGCACAACAGAATCGCTGCACCAATTGCGCCCGAGCTGAAACGAACAAGGCTGGTACAGGGACGGAGCAATTAAAAGCATAAGAATCTTTTATTATGAATTAAGATGAAAAAAAATCATGCTTAAATTCATTCCACATTCAGAAGAAACATACTCCAAAACGTTGACAAACCTAGGAAGATAATCAGCAGAAGCTGCCGACGTAAGAACGAGAACAACTATGCAGAAAAGAGCTATATTCAACACTGCAATTTTCCTCCGTTTGCATCGACATTTTTTATCTGTAAAGCATGTGAATCCGAAAAGTTATCAGAGAAACTTGAAAAAGAAAGGAAGGAGTATTCTAAACCTCCTCGGAATTACCGGTCACAAGCTAATAATAATGCATTGTTCATAAACAATGGAGGCCATATCAATTCTGAAAGCAAAAGAAACAAGAGTAGCCACATTCCTGATAATGTTGATTACCTTCAGTGAATTGTTTCTCAATAAGTGGATACTGAATTGAAGCCTCCCCATGCTCCGATAGTTGAGGACTTTGCTCGACGATGTTGTCATTGTCATAACCATTTTTTTTAAAAGACAATAAAATATTATTTTAAAAACGATTGTGACTTTAATTTTGAGAAATTGGGTGAATTTTGGATTTATTTGAATAAAATTGGATTGGAGTCGTCATCGACCTTTGGGTTAGGTAAGTCAAATACCTAAAAACGTCTTTTAAAATTTTTTTTAATAAAAATCATTTTTAAAATAAAAACCTGGTCTGCTTTTACAAAGATTCGATTAAAATAGGTTCGGGAGTCGATTACGCGTGGGGAAGGATTAGCACCCTACAGCGCCCAAAAACTGGTACTTGATCGCTTACAAGTTGTCGTAAATGGTAGAAATGATGAATCGAATATAAAGTAAATTGTGATCCATTTATCGAACATTGATTAATTTACTTCGAATTAAATAAATAGATGAAATTCTTTAAATTGAAAAGAAATCTCAAAATTAACAATCCTCTGTCGGGAAAGCTAACTCAAATATTTCTTATCATTATTAGAATATTCCCTTCTCATTGATATTAAAAAAACACGAATCAAATATAAAATGGAGAAACAACATTTGCATGAAATAAAATGTTATTTAGAGTAACATGTAGTGCGTTGTTCGATTTAAAACGCGAAATGAATTAATTAACAAAATAAAGTTGATTTCAAGTTAACATTTTGTTCAAATGTTATATCGGATCGCATCACTTCGATCAAGTGAAACTTTCCACGCTCATTCTACAAATTGTGTTCTCGAAAATGTTCGAATAAACCACTAAAATTTTAATATCAAATAATACATACATGTAACATTGACAAAAGAACATTTAAAAAAAATAAATTAACATATATAATAAATACATAAAGGTGGGACATTATTAGACAAACATTCAAGATTGATAAATATTAAGTAAATAAACAAATGCCTAAAATAGCCACGTCAAACAAATAATATAATAATAAAAAATACTTAATAATATTTTCATAAAAAATTGAAAAGATATTAATAAACTTGTGATAAACCATATTATAGATATAGAACGATTAGCAGTTAAATAAACAAACGAATGTTGAACCACACAAAAACAAAACCGTTATCTACATATGTGATTAATCATACAATTTGGTATAAAAGAAATTATGAAAACAAAATAATCACACCATGAATAAATATACATATTAAATCAAAGTACAAAAGGGACTAAAATGATTCAAAACGTAAATTATCACTAAAAATCAGATATTAACCAATACACAGATCAACAACAAATAGGGACTAAAATACACTAAGCTAAAAGTTAACAATCACAATAAGAATTTAATTGAAAATAAATAACAAACACATAGTGACTAAAATAAAATATACATAAATATCACGGCCAAATTAGAAATTTCACGTAATTACACAAAGCACAAAATCAGTGATTAAAATGAACTAAATCATAAATCAGAGCTTAAAACAAAGTATTTACCTAAACCACATTAGTGATCAAATAGGGATCAAAATGAAAAGTAAACAAATATTAAGTCCAAAATGAAATAAATGGAAATCATTAACTGATGACCAAAATGAAAACCACGCAAAATTAACAGTTAGATATCTAAATATTTAAACAGAGATAAGACAGGACTAAAATGAAATATTTATAAATGCAGAATACAATGTACAATTTTATAAAAATATTAACAACAGAAGATCTAGTGCCCAAAATACAAGTTTTATGAACATGATGTACTAAATACAAAATACATAACTATAAAACTGACCAAAATGAAACATACATAAATCTTAAGGCCAAATTTAAATATCAAAAGAAACAACAAAATACATAATAACATGACTAAAATATAATAATTAAAACGTAAATGCTCGAAATCAAATAAAGTGAAATTTCATTAAATGGCTAAAACATAAGATTACAAAGATAGAAGAATTAAAAACATAATTAAACCATAACCTAAAAAAAGCAAAAAAACCCCAGCAAACGACGTCGTTTTGCATAATATATATATATATATATATATATATATAATTTAAAGACCAAAAGGCCAACCCCTTCATTTGTCTCAGTTTCAAACCGAGGGAGAAGAGAGAGAGCTTCAAACGCTCTCAACTCTCTTCTCCACAGGGAGAAGAAGCAATGGCCACAGGCGGAACTCACGGCAGAGTTCACGGTGGCCGGCGGTGGTCGGAGAGAGGAAATCACCTCAAAAGTGTCCTCTCCTTACTCTCATCTCGAAACCCGACTCCCCTTAGCCTAAAACATCCCCTAAAGCCACAGATCTAACTGTTTACCTTTCGAGAAAACAAGAAACCGGTGACCCTTCCTCCTCTCGCTGACTCCTCCGATCAAGGTACAGTCTCCTCTCTCTCTATTTCTCTCTCGGTTTTTTTTGTTCGATTTGAGTAGTTCTCTTTTTCTTTTTTTCTGGTTTTTCGTTTTCTCCTTCTTTTCTGGAAATCTCCGAATGGCCTCGTTGTTCCCTCTATCTTCTGTTTTTATTTTGATGCATGATTGGTGACTGTTGATTTGTTACTTTGATTCCCGAAACATAGGGTATGAGTGCCCCTATTTTGCTTTGTCATGGTAGATATCATCGGGACACCATTTTGATTTTGTTTCTATTGTTTATTGGGTTTTCTTTGATTTGCAGGAAACCCGTCACTATTCGATGGATGCGGGTCACTGTTGGATGGACTTTTGCAGGTCGGCTTGGTGGCTCGGTGGTAGCTGGAGCGTTGGAATACCAATCGGTGGACATGCATCCTGTCCCATGAAATTTCTGTAATTCACAGTTAATCGAACTAACTTACCATCCCCGAAACATCCATAAATAAAGCCAATACTGCAGCTAGCATACCAGCTGTCACTGTGCTCTTTATAGGAACTTGAGTATTCGTATTGATGTCGGAAAATAACGATGGTAATAATCCATCCCTGGCCATCGCCATCAACAGCCGTGGCTGAAGAAATATGCATATAAAGTCGTAAAACCGTAATTTAACAAACATATAGGCCACTGCATTCTCATGCAAGTTTAGAACCGGTTAAGCGCCAAATACGTGAGGAAGAAGTGAACCCATCAAACTTGTGCAGAGAGTGGTAACTGCCCCAGCAGTGACTATGTACCTAGGAAGTATAAAAATCGATCACGGGGTTCAAAAGTAAGTTTTGGAGAACATGCCTTAGAATTTAACCAACGAACCGACACTATGAACTACAAAAAAAACATAATGCTTACGCTGCCCACTGCATTCCGTTGGCAGAAAAAACCGAGGAGATAGGAGTGTCAGGATTCAATGAATAGAATGGAACTAAGCCGACAATAACAACTGATACGAGCATGTACAATATACAACATAGTGTCAATGTCGTCCCGATGCCCAAGGGTAAATCTCGTAAAGGTCTTTTCGCCTGCCATGAAGCGGGGAAATGTATATATATCAATGATAACAACTAGATGAAATTTCTATTATTAGGTGCCTTGTCAAATTATGCGAATTCACTCATGCTAAAAGATAGATAATGAAAAACTGGAACTACCTCTTCAGCTGCACCCGTAACTGCATCGAAACCTATGTATGAAAAAAGCACTAGTGGATCCTGCAAGCATCCCGTTTACACCGAATGGGAAAATCCTGCAAAATCAAAAGGAAAATGTAAGCAGGAGAGCTAACCAAAAAAAAAAAAACTTGATCAATGTAGATGAAAAAGATTATAGCTACCCGTCACGAAGTTCATAACCGGTCCATCCAGTCTTGCAAGCCAAATAGCCACCAGCTATTACAACGAAAAGCATGGCGCACACGTTCACCGTTGTAACAGTGGTTTATACCAGTGAGCTCTGTAATATCAAGTGTTAAACTAAAGCAATTAGAAAAACTAGTAAGTAAAACAGATAGAAAACCAATAGCCTGCCTCTTTGATTCCAGCACACAGAAGAACGGTAACGATAAGAACTAAAACTGCTGCACATGGATCCACCACAACACCAAGCTGAGGGATAGCATGATGAACCAAAAAGGCAGGTAGCTTATCTTCACCCCCGAAAAATAAGGCCTAAAGCACAGAGCAATATCTTACAACAGTCGCTAGAGATGGGGTTTTCCCCTCGCACAATAAATTTACAGTATTACACAATTTTTAGAAATAAATCCTCACTAGATTCGGTGATATGCCACGAGTAATAGCGGAACCGCCAATCGTGTATTCCAGAATCAAAGACCAACCAATCAACCAAGCAACGCTGCAAGTAACTGAGTTCTTACATTACAAACTAACATCAGATTCAATTATACATATAAAATGGTGCCGTAACCGATGATGTCCCGGATCTAATTCCCTCGTTCAGGAAAATATAGAATGGTAAAAGGATTTCAGCTTACCTTTCCCCTATGCATATATATGCATAATGATATGCACTCCCGGCGGATGGGCAGCGACTAGCGAGCTCTGCATAACAGAAAGCCGATAACGCAGCAGCTAGATCGGCAATGAGAAATGAAACAGTAAGAGCAGGTCCCATGTGCTCTCTGGCAACCGTTCCGACAAAAACATATACGCCGGCACCAATGGTTGTCCCGACTCCTGATTGTATTAATCAAGGTGTGTTAATCAATTAGCTAGTTCCGACAAGATCATTTAGCAAATGTCAAAATGTTTGAACATCTCGAACGGCGGCGATCACTCGCTCTAGCTCCATACATGAATAAAATCTTCAAAGAAAAATCAACCACCACCCAAATGCAAATGCAGGATTTTATGCTAGCAGTGAACTTATAATATTTCAGAGGACGAACTTATAAAATTAGCACTCATCACACAACTAAAAGGTTAAAAAGAGAAAACATAGCTAATATTCATGCTGGTTCCTTCTCCATACTAAAACCACACACACAAATGACCAAATTTTCACAGAAACAAAACCAATCAGAAAAGAGAGCCCACAAAAACAGAGACAAAAATGGGAAATTAAATAAACCCAAATTGCAGAAGAGGAAATAGAAGTACAAAGTGGTGAGAAATACCAATGGCAGTGAGGTCAAGAGCAGTTAGTTTTCTGGCTAATTGGTGACCTTGTCTTCTTACATGAACTGAATCAACTTGTTTTCTTCTAACTAAGCTTTTGAAAGCCTTTGAACAGTTTGAAAGTAGTAATTCACCCCTGTTTTGCATACTGAGAATCAATCTTTTTGTTTGTTTATTTACTGCTTCGTTGATCAGTGGTGTAATTATATTGGATATAATTAGATTATTTGATAATGTATAATTTATTTAAAAATATTTAAAAGCATATATGAAAGAAGAAATTTATTCAAAACGTATGTTTTTAGTATATTTTTGTAAGTGTTTTATTTGTTCCTTCGAAATTGTTTCACCATGTTTCTTCGATAAATTTTTATGGTAAGATCATCTTCACACTTCGAACTGTCAATATAATTATGTCTTTAAGATCGATTATAACCTTTAATGGAGGTTATCGAATCGATTATGATTCGAATGGTTCCTAAGACGTCATCATGTCATATGACATCTAATAATATCATAAATTAATAGTAAAATTATTCGTTCCCCCTTAAATCATTAAACATGAGATGAGACATTGATGGCTTATTTCAAAGATTGGAATATATTTAGTCTTGTAATGTACTGTATTTAGATGAAATACTCACGTGCGACAGTCTTAAAATACTGTTAAGAAAAGATATTATCGGTTTTGTTATTATTGGACACTTTACCGGTTTTGGTAACATATCCGGTAAAGCGCTACCTAAAACATTATTTTTTACCGGGTTTTTCTACCGAGTTTACCTATTTTGATAATTAATAATAACAACAAAACCGGTAGAAATAATAATGTTTTGGGTATTTTTTACTGATTTTATTATTTAAAATAATAACAAAACCGATAACATCTTTTTTTAACTGTATATTAAAACTGTCGCACCGTAGAATTTCCCACAATGAATAAAACACTCTTTCTTAGCATCTTCTTTATTTAATTATAAAAGAGGTGGTGTCTGAACTCGATCATAAAATGGGTCCAAGTTCATGGACATGTCGATAATTTTATTTAAACTACTTATCTATTACTTAGTTTTTATTTCATTCACTCATTTCTTTTTTTTTAAGTTTTTATTTTATTCACTTAATTATTTTTTTAAGTCATACATAAAATTATATTTTTAGATATATTATGATCATCGATTGTTATTACCAATAATATTAATTATTTCTCATTAATGACATAGCATTACTTTATCCTGGCACTTTAAAATCACCATTAATTTTTAACAACGAATAATCAAAACGTAACATTAAATATGATTTTGAAAAAAAAAAATAATAATTGACCCAAACAAAAACTAATAATAGGTGAATGACCACATAAGTAGTTTACCCTTTAATTTACTATAAAACCCCTAATTCGTTTAGAAAAAGTCTTACCTTTTATAATAATTATATACAAGAACCCCAAAAAACACAAATGAGAAACATCATTTACATATTGCAGATTAATCAAAGGAATAAAAACGTTTACAAAGGATTCTCTTTCCTAATATATAGAGAGAGAGAGAGAGAGAGGGAGAGAGAGAGAATATAATTTTCGTATGCAACCTGAGACCAAATTATAACGTGACAGCATATACCAAACATGGTCACATACGGCAACATCGAACCATAAAAGAAAAAACACACATTCAGAAGAGGCAAAAGGCAAATGTTTTCCACAATTAATTATTATTAATAATAATGTTCATTTTCATTTCCACCATGCCCTTTTCTCCCATCTAATGTCCTCAAATGTTAGCTGTAAAAACAATTTACCATTTTTCCACCAGCAGCAGCAAGAACTATTCTTCTTGCCTTGGACTCCCTTCGCCGCCACCTTCTTCGAGCTGAACCCACACACCTTGATTTTGTTCCCCTTCGTTTTCCCACGTTTCTTGCCTTACACTCCTGTTAATCGTATCGCCGCCATTAGAAAACTGTGCCCACACGCTTCGGCTCTTTCCCCCACCGCTGAACTCTTCGTCGCATCCTGCAACTGTCTTTAGTATCTCCGACTGCAATGAAGGGCAGTTTTCTTTGAGATACTCAAAACCATCTGAGCGCATAACAGCTGCATCGAATACAACAGTCAGTTACATGACAAGTTAGGGTGCTGAGAGAAAATGTAGTTTATTATAGTAACCACGAAACGCTCGGGTTCTGAAGAGAAAAAATCTTCACAAACAGAAGAGAATAGCAATAAGAGATCTTAGCTAACATCTTGTTATCATCTAGAACACTCGATACCAACCTTACCCATGGGCAGGGACAGGCTGGCTTAGCCTTGAAAAACATAACAGAAACCTAACCTCAAACAGGCAAGGCCAGCAGGCTGGCTGCAGCAATGCCAGAACCAAAAATGGAAAATATGACTCATCTCGAAACCAAGTTCTTCCTAAATTTGAATGCCTAGCATCGTCTGGTGACATTTTTGGCTTTGGAATACAAATAGGCATGCCATGAAAGGAAAATATTCAACTTTTTCCATGTTCATCATACAGGTGAATGCTGAAGCTGAGCATTATCTCGATATTTTATCTTAAAAACAAGTAGTTTATCATACACGGGCAACCAGACTGTACCCGGAACATGGACGCATTAAGCATTTCTATGTAATGTAAAATTTGGAATACCGATAAACGAACAGAAGAATTTACCAACAAGATTTTCAGCAGCGAATTTTAAGCAAACAGCTTTTAGATCCATAGCATGATGACGATCGGCAAGGGCTAAAATGTTTGCGACTGAGTTCACAGATATGTCCTTGCAGATTACAGACTCACACATCAGTCTAAGTCTAGGCAAGTCATATTTGTCTGCTGCTGCCAA